GAGAAGTCGAATCACGAGGGACCGAAATGCTTAGGGATAACAAGAGAAATCCTTTTGAATCAAGACAATGGTGCAAGAAATATGAAAGCCTAGAGGCTCTTATTTATAGTACTTGAATTTTCAAAAACTACCATCTATAGTTACTTAAATGACCTTATAGTTATTTAAACGACTAAACATCAATCTATAATACTATTTTAAATAGATTTAATAATATTTGTACTAAACTAATGTCGAAAGTTCTCAACACTAGTCTTATAACGACCGCATCATCGATAACTTTCTAATGATATATACATAGTATGTATGTATGTATGTATGTATATAAATATATATATATATATATATATATATATATATATATATATATATATATATATATATATATATATATAGGCTTAGGTTATTCTATTCTAACTAATTATTGTGCATATATCATATGCTATGAGAATTACTAAGAGAATAAGTTGTTTAGCAATGCGAATACGTTCAATCTTACATAACTATTGTCATTAACACAAATTCTCACTAATTAAATCGTCTATACGATTATTATACATTTATTATTATTATTATTATTATTATTATTATTATTATTATTATTATTATTGCTCTCATTTCTGTCAGAATGTTTGTTAGAATGTTTATTGGGTCGTATTCTATCAGAATGAAAATGAGTGAAAAACGATGTGTGAGAACAAAAATAAATAATAATTAACGAGAATGGATGAAAATGACGATATTTTTGTAAGGTTGAACGTATTCTCATTGTTAAACAACTTATTGTCTTAGTAATTTTCATAACATACGATATCCGCACGATAATTAGTTAGAATTCTTGAACATGTATATATATATATATATATATATATATATATATATATATATATATATATATATATATGTTCAGGTTCATTTGAGACCATTCTAATTTTGTGAGACCGTGAGACAAAATCTAAAAATAATTTTAAAATGCAAAATAAATGGAAAAATCCAAAAATTATTTTTTTAAATATTATTTTCGGAACTTGAATTAACTAAAAAAATATAAAAAAAAATAAAAAGATTCCGTTTTTTTTTTTTTTTGAAAAATACGTGAAATATTCTAAATAGAATATTACACTGACATATTCTAAAAAATAATTTTAAAATGCAAAATAAATGGAAAAATCTAAAAATTCTTTTTTTAAATATTATTTTCGGAACTTGAATTAACTAAAAAAAATTAAAAAAAAATTCTATTTTTTTTGAAAAATACGTGAAATATTCTAAATAGAATATTACACTGTACATATTCTAAAAATAATTTTAAAATGCAAAATAAATGGTAAAATCAAAAAAATTATTTTTTTAAATATTATTTTCGGAACATGAATTAACTAAAAAAAAAATAAAAAAAGTGCGTTTCACGGTCTCACAAAATATAGGTGGTCTAAAATGAACCTAACCATATATATATATATATATATATATATATATATATATATATATATATATATATATATATATATATATATATATACACACACACACACACACACACACTTATATTTTATTTTAATACAAAATGTGCTATTATAAATTGATAACTCATTTATACGGACTCTGTTTTTTACATTTATTATATCCACGCGTAACTATCAACGAGATCTATAACTTTCGTTTAGACTCCATCGGCTAATTTTGACTTTATTTTTTGTCCATATTTTTATAAAATTAAATGATTTTGCTAAATTCATAACTCTCTTGTACGGACTCCGTTTTTGGCATTATTTTTCTCAAAATTTTTATTTTAAAGAGTGCTATGATTTTCTTTTTGGTGGCTTTAGCTAAAAGTTAACCACGCTCTTCGTATCTTTTTACGTCATACATTCATTGTGCGCGACTGACTTTCATATAAAAACCATATCTAATTCATACGGAATCGGATTTCTATGAAATTTATATTTTTGGAATCGGGAAGACTTGTACTTTTATATATATATATATATATATATATATATATATATATATATATATATATATATATATATATATATTTCAACGCACTTACTTTTATGATTTATAGGTGATTCGGTTGATTTTTTTATTTTATTATATTAAAATAATAATGAAATACATAATATTCATATAATTCTCCTTTATTACGTCAAATAAGTTACAATTGTTAACCTTAACTATCACTTTGGTTAAAATTATTTATCCTAGATAATCTTCTATAAAAATCATTTTTAACGCTTACTATATCTTAATTGACTAGCCCGAATTTACGGGTGTTACAACGTTCAAGCATTGAAGTTGAGTATTATTCCTTGGCTTACACAACATCATAATTTATGTAGATTAAGTAGTTACTTGCTGATCTTCAGGCTCCAATTAGCCATCCTCCATTGACAATGTTAGTGCTATATTTTTGAGCAAAAACGTGATTATTAGTACACACTCTAAACATATAGCATTAGACTTTCATTTCATTTGAGAACAAGTAGAGTTTAGGCAACTGAAGATATATTATGTCTCCTTTGTAGATCAATTGGCAAATATCTTTACCAAACCATTGGGAAAAAAATTATGTTCTCTTTCTTTGTTCGAAGCTTTAAGTTCGTCCCGCCCTTGAGCTTGACGGAGGGTATTAGCAGATTATAAACGTGTATACGAATGTTTAAATAGCCTTATAATAAAAAATCAGCATAAACTTAGCTTATAATTAGGGATACTAATCTCTATATATTTTGTTCTTCTTTCATGTATAAATGTGTGTATTTATATGAGATCATATACAACAATTTTTACTTTGTTATGCCGAGTTTAATTCCTTAGATCGGAGGATTTTTCTAGATCTGTGCTAGGGTTAGGGTTATGGTTTTTTAGACATGTGTGACGGCGGCGTTGATATCTAAAAACAACAATAAGGATGGCACTGAAACGAGATATGAAAATCTTCAAGAGCGTCGGTTGTCGGAATCGATCTTGTTGGAAAAACATAATGAGGTGAGCCCTGATGTTCATATGTATGTGAGTCAAATTCCGATAGAAATGGCGGAAACTTCTCAAGGTTGACTCGGTGGTTGTGGTTGTTGTGAGAGAGAGGGGGGGGGGTGATGTTTTCTTTTTATTTTATTTGTTTATGAATATAATTAAAAAAAAATTAATAAGTATATATATATATATATATATATATATATATATATATATATATATATATATATATATATATATATATATAAACATATTAATCATTTCAGGTTGGTTATGGATTAAAACTACAAAAAATATCAACCGTAAAAGAACCAAAACCATACAAAATATTAAAAATCAGACCGGTATCATCAAATTTTTTTTAATCAAAACCACATATATTTTACTGGTAGTACGGACCATCGATTTTTTCTATATAAAAACTTACAGATTATTGAAGTGAAAACATGTTTTTACATTTAAAATCAAACAGGTTTCTAGAATATGACTTTTAGTCTTTTTTTTTTTATTCTTTAACGGTAGACCAAACAAGATTCAAAAGTCTTTGAAATTCCAATTGAGATAAATTCTATTTTTAAATCTTTTAAATTCGATTTGAAGTCGACTTTATTTTAAAAAAATTTAATTTTTTGAAAATGTAATTTTAATCGACTATATTTTTTTAATTTTCATACCAAATGATATGACTTTAGTCTTCTAAAAGAATGACCTGTTAAGACCTTACTGGCCAGCTGAGGATGGTTATTGCCGACGTGGAGCTCCCTCAACTGCGTGGTAACGCCAGGAACACCGTCACCCTATGCTTTTCGTTTCATCCCGTTACGTACCACCAATGCGGTTTCTCATCCCCTAAGCGGTCAGGAGACAAAATGCATTCTTTGGGCTTGGGCTGTACTGTTGTTAATTAGCAGCGGAGAACCTCAACAAACGAGGGAAAACAGAAGCGTAGTTAAAATTAGGGTGCCTGGAAATTTTGTTACTTATGTGGATCGCGAAACTTCTCACTCAAATTTCCTACCAGTCCCCTTATATTTAGGAATTAGGACGCGAAGAATCTGAAAGCTACATCCCACATCGGTGGTGCGAAGCAACTGACATATGAAATACCTGATGGAGATTATGACTCCTAATGTTCTTGTTTTTACTGGTGTTGAGGTTATGTAGCCAGTTTAGATATACAAAGCTACTGTTCAATGAAATGCATGAAAAAGACTATGACAAGATAGAAAGTTTTTTGGTACGATTTAGGTTTTATCAAGTTTTATTACCTTGTAACAACCGAACACTTAAAGACGATAATGCTACTATGATACTTGGAATCACAGTTTCTATAACAAGCTAACAAAGACAATGATGCTACTATATATGTACTTGTACTCGTATATTAATGATTGTACAAATATTGCTCATGATTTGAGCAAGATTTTTTCTTTGTGCCTAGGCTCAAGAGAAAATACATGAGCCAAATAAGACTTCAAGAAAATTGGTTATATATGTGTTTGAATAATTTCCGTGTATGTAGTATGTCTATTAAGATCTGTTGTGTATTGTGTTTTTAATTGTTGCCACTACACACTGAATGTTCGCGCTCTAAATAACTAGGTTTAATTCTCTTATTTGTAATTGTATTTAATACATTTTAAAAGAATATTATTTGTACAAGACAAGATATTGACCGTCTAATATCCAGGTTCCCATTGATGCTGATAGGTCTGACTAAATCAGTAGATTTTTCTTCCTATTCAACGGTTCAGCGTAAGGAACGCGGACCAGCTGGACTTTTTAATTTAATTAATCAATCTAAATACATTCATAGCGACGTAACTCAAACTTAAAACTTAAGTAATGAGCTCTCATATATTACTCCTGATCGTTCTTGTTCTTGTTTAAGTCGACAGGACTCCATTTTCTTTCTTTCCCCACCTACTAAAAGTGTTACTGTGTCATCTTGATCTTACTAAAAATTTAAAAATAAATTGTTGCCGATGATAAATTTCAGGTTATATCCATTTCTAATCTTGATGTTGCTTAGCTTTCAAAGCCTTTCAACAGCACATGAAGATCCAACTTACAAGGAAGTACAAGTGGGAGTGATTCTTGACATGGAATCATGGGCAGGGAAGGTCGTTTATCGTTGCATCACCATGGCTATTTCTGACTTTTACACAGCCAATCCTCTCTACACAAGGATTGTTTTTAAGACCAGGGATACCAAAGGAGAACCACTGCGTGCCTTGTCTAGTGGTACTGTCTTTTTATCTTTTTTGGAAAACTTTCAATTCTAAATGTTAATATACTGTTCATGGATATTCAGCTCTTGATCTATTGGAGAACACTAAAGTGCAAGCCATAATAGGTCCTGAATCAACAGTGGAGGCAAGATTTCTGGACGTTTTTGAGGACAAGGCTAACATACCAATTCTTTCCTTTTCAACAAGTCCCTTTCCAAATCGTAATCCTTATCTTCTTCAAATTGCACAAGATGAAAACACTCAGTTCAAAGCCATTGCTGCGATGGTTGATTCATTTAAATCCACGGAGGTGATTGTCATATGTGAGGACACTACAAATGGGAGAGAAATGACGACTTATATGGTTAGTGCGTTTCAAGAAAAAAACATATATGTTATGTATGCTAGCTTCATTTCAGCCTCTTCCAAAAATGAACAAGTGTGGGAAGAGCTTCGTAAGCTTCAAACTATGCAGACCATGGTGTTTGTGGTGCATGTGTCACCTTCTCTAGCGACCAATGTTTTCTCTATGGCAAAAGAGTTAGGCATGATGGGCGAAGGATACATGTGGATCGTAACAAGTAAGACTACAAACTACTTGGAATCCCTGGATTCTGAAGCAATTGAATCAATGCAAGGGGCTGTGGGTTTCAGATCTTATTTTCCTGCATCAAGGGAACTTCACAAATTTGTTTCGAAATGCAGAAAGGAACATTATGATTTGAACCCTTTTATGGAGTTTAAGGGGGTAGATCCCAGTGGTATATGGGCATATGATGCAGTTTACGCACTAGCCATGGCTGTTGAAAGGATACAAACTACATCACTTTTGGATGAGTTGTCAAGAGTCAAGTTCCATGGATTAGGTGGTCAATTTAAGCTTATGAATGGAAGAAGCATCTCCAAAGCCATGGAAGTTGTAAATGTGATTGGTAAGGGTGGTAGGAGAGTTGGATTCTGGATGATGGCTACCGGTGGTGGGTTTGTGAAAGAAATAAAGAAATCAAATTCCTCTTCCAATCAAGGCCTTGAAATTATCATGTGGCCAGGTGGGACTACAAGCATTAATCCAAAACGTAGGATGCTACAAACAAATGGCAATAAGAAGCTGAGAATTCTGTTTCCAGGTGCCAACCTATTCCCAAATATAGCACAAATAAGTGTTGATCCCAGAACAAATCTATCGTTTGTCAGCGGCTTCACTGGGGATGTTTTCAATGCTGCATTTAACGCCTTAGACTACGGAGTTGAGATTGAAGTTGTTCCGTTCTCTCATAAGGATGGAAGTACTTACAATGATGTGATCCAAAAAATCTATCTTAAGGTACGTATGTGTCTTTTTGCAAAAAACTGCATGAATCTAGCTTTTAGCTAATATGATGTCGGTTTAATTTTACCAGGAATATGATGCTGCTATCGGGGATTTTACAATCACTGAAAATAGATCTCTCTTTGTCGACTTCACGTTGCCATTCACTGATCTTGGAGTTGGCATAGTAGCCAGAAACACTAAGAACGGCATGTGGATCTTCTTAGATCCTCTTAGTGCAGATCTTTGGATCACAAGTGCTTTTTTCTTTCTTTTTTTGGGGTTTGTCATTTGGTTTATAGAACATCGTACAAACAATGAATTTCAAGGTTCAACAAGACAGCAAATTGGAACAACCCTCTGGTTTGCCTTTTCAACCCTCGTTTATGCTCACAGCAAGTTCTCCAACTCTTTACACTCTAATCTCAATTTACTTAAAGATTTGATCTTCTTCTTGAGCACGCATAAAATCTATATCTCAGATCTGTTGGGAATTGAAAACTGCAGGGGAGAAGCTGCAAAGTAATCTATCAAGATTCGTGGTTACTGTTTGGGTTTTTGTAGTGCTTGTGCTCACGTCAAGTTACACTGCAACATTGAGTTCACTTTTAACAGTACAACAAATTGGAATGAAGGAGATGTCTATTGGGCTCCAGGGTCTTTCACCTGTAGGAATTGTGTATAACAAAATGAATGTTGTTGACGGCTGGTCTGAGAAACTATATGCGCCAGAGGACTATGCTAAAGCATTAACAACCGGAAGATTTGATGCAATTGTCTCTGAGATCCTTTACGTCAAATCATTACTTGCAATGTATTCAGGTGCTGATTTCTCTTTGATTGCAACAGCACCCACCACCAACGGCTTCGGCTTTGTAAGTGTTCTCTAATCCTTTAAGCTTTAATTTTCCATACATTTGATTCCATTTCCATGTATCAGTTAGCTCTATGTTTGCAGGCGTTCCAGAAAGGTTCACCTTTGGCAAGAGAAATGTCCACTCAGATAGCAAAAATGCGCCAAGACGGGACACTAAAAGCATTAGAGGATAAATGGTTGAAACCTGAATCTGCAATGATGTCAAAGGATGTTTCTTCCCCTTCACCAAAAATATTGAATTTTTATGGGCTTCGAGGTCTCTTTTTTATCAGTGGTGTATCCATGGCATTGGCCCTTTTGTTTTCCATGATTGATCTTGTTCGTGAAAAATGGCATATCAAAGATAAGATTAAGATGTTGAGGTGCGTCTTACATAGATCTTCAGAAACACATGCACATGATAATGATGTGGAATCAACGGTTTGAATTTTCTGTAAAGTTAAATCCGAACAACTATACCAAACATCATGTTTCTACATAAGAATCAAAATTTGTGTCAAATATATATAGTTTTGTGTTAGGAAAAGTAAAACGGATAACTAACAAAACCAATAACACACAAGAAACAATATTTACGTGGTTCGGTCAAGTTGACCTATGTCCACGACAAGAGGGGGAAGTCTTTATTTAAGAGCTCTCAAACAGAGGTTACAAGTATAATTTTCACAGAGATTCGTCTAACATTCTAGAATTCAAGATACAAAATGAATTATCATGCATTCTTATTTATACTTGAGGGATCAGACCTAAAACTCTAATGGACCAAGCCTATTGGCCCATAGGCCCATGAATGGTAACAACCAATCATATTTCGCCATGCACCATCTTCTAAAACATTCTTCCATGCCATACAACCTATGAGCATCAACAACACACATGATGGACCACCTTGATTATAGTGGAGCAACATGATGCACAAGTGGCGCATCATAAACACTAATGGTCCAACATTCATCATGGTGGCACAACATGGTGTATTTCTTGAACATGATCATCTTCTAAGCATACGTGGATCAACATGGTACAACAAAGGAATCGAGATGGCGCATCATGTACCAAGATGGTTTATGATGGCGCAACATCCTCCTCTTGGCGCAACTTCTCATAGATGTGGCGCAACATCTCCTTAGATCAACATCTCCTTGGCTCAACCTCACCTTGGCTCAGCATCGCCTTTGCTCAACATTACCCATGCTCAACATCTTCATGGCTCAACATGTTGGACCATGTTACTCCATGTTGCTCCAAGTTTCTCTAATCCATCTTTTGGAAGATTTGTACCTTTTTCACTCCATCTGTTCCTTTTGTCTGATGATCCATTCATTTCTTAGAAGATCTATTTCTTGTCACATGCTCCATGAACCCCAAGTGCTCCATTGAGTTCTAAGTGTTCCATTAAACCCAATTACTCTAGGATAATGCTCCAAATGCTTAAGACACATTTAACATTTTGTTTTGTTTTTTGAACTTGGATTGTTACTTATTTTAATTGGAAAATGAATATCATACTTCCATTATTTACAAAGATAAAAGGACCCGATTAAACTCATAGTCCTAGGAAGGGTGGTCATGTGGTGGTTTGGCTAGGAGACTCTGTTTTGACCCACATCACTAGCAAGATGTAACCAAGTCATAGTGGGTTATTCTTGACAAAGAATCATGGGTAGGGAAGGTCGTTTATCATTGCATCACCTTGGGTATATCTGACTTTTACAAAGCCAATCCTCGTTATATAAGTATGATAGTTTTTATGACTTAGGATACCAAAGGAGAAGCACTACATGATCTGTCTAGTGCTGCTTCTATTGTTATTTTTACTCGGCCTTTGCTTAATTATTATAAAATTTAATTTTGAATACGAATAATATATCATTCATGGAAATTCATCTTTGGATCTTTTAGAGAACACCAAATTGCAAGCGATAAATATGTGGAATCAATATTCTTAGAGATTTTAGAATAAAAGGCTAACATACCAATTCTTTCATTTTCAACAAGTCCTTTTCCGAATCGTAATCCTTATATTCTTAAAAATGCACAAAATGAAACCACTCGGTTTAAAGACATTGATGCAATGGTATAGTTGTTTGAAGCCATATATGTGACTGTTAACTATGAGGACACTACAAATAGTAGAGAAATGACTATTTGTATGGTTAGAGGTAGCCAAAAAGAAGTAGATAAAAGGAAAAAAAAGAAGAGACGACAAAAAAGAAGTAGAAAATAAGAGAGATGTCCATAATAGGAGGTGACAAAAGGGGAGGGGTCGGGGAAACAGGAGGTGGAAGGAGATGAATGATGAATGTACTATTTATCAAGTTGGCTTTTTTTTTGTACTAGAATATGTATGAAAAAAATTAGATAACAAGATATCAAGATTTACAAGTGATAAATTAAGTAAATAAAGTACATATATCAATCACCAGTGGGTTTTGAAGGACAAGACTCATGGATTTGTGGGGCTCGAAGATAGGAGGACCGAAAGTAGGAGTTTAATATTGACCAGAGTCTATGGGGCTACTATGGATCAATCTTATCAAGTAAGTAAGGATGTTCATTTGTTTTAATTTACAACTTTCTCATATTCATTCCGTCGAAGAGAAAGATTTATGGAGGATGTATGCTAGAATAGGAAATGTTGCTTATTAAATATGACTTGAGCATTTGGAGCATTTGGAGTTTAATGGAGCACTTGGAAGCATGAGTGACCATCAAGAATCATGAGTGAGCATTTGGATCATGAACAAGCATCATGAATCACGATTAAACATCATAGATAATGAGTGAGAATCAGGAACCACGAGTGAGCATTTTGATCAAGAGTGAGCATCAGAAATCACAAGTGAGCATCAGGGATCATGAGTGAGCATTAGGGATCACGTGTGAGCATCATGGATCACGTG